AGCTAAGCTCTAACAACAGTGCTGATAATAACTCCACTAGGGACTCAAACTGTTGACAGAGCCACAGTACAGCATCAGTGCCTAGATACCAAAGAATCCATGTGGTCACCTTGGACCTTGTCTTGGGAAGAGAGAATGGTTCAGAGATCTGCAAGGTGAAGACTTCTGTAATCACCATTGAAAATCTGATTTTTCTTATCAATATCAGTGTAACTCAGGGAAGCAAAAGTTATCATGGTACTGTGGGTATCTAGGTTGGATAAAAAATAAAACTAGATTCTGCTGAAGTGTGAAGTTAGACAAATGAAACACCGTATTCTATTCTATGATGGGGTACCAAAGTATTGTGGGAGAACTATATGACAGACTAAGAGGTAGTGGATAAGAGAAGCCAGCTTGGTTGCAAAGAGAGAGAAAGTATAGGACTTTGAAAATTAAAGTAGCCACAGATAATATTTGACCAGCCACCAGGATAAGGCTTGACAGCTAAACTTTGTGGAAAAAAAAAACAATGGTTCCGTGCAGGCCCCCATACTAATCCAGAATTTATGAGGCACATGAACATTCAGAATGGAGAGGGCTGGATGTTAGTAAATAAAAGAGGTTGGTTGGCACAGTGGTGGGGTACCACTGTGTGATTCTGGAGCCAAATAAGAAGACCCTGGGTTTAGTTCCCTGGTCAATTTGAACATGTGGGTTGCACCTGTGGGCCCACCTATGATCCTGGCTGGTTGGAGGGTTTGGGAGAGGACCATGTTATGACAGGACCCTGTCAGAAGGTCTCTGTCTCTCTATCTCTCAATAGACTTTAATGATAAAAGAGCTCTATAATTAGGAGCCTGGTGGCTTTACTATCGAATCCTGCTTCAAAACATTGCAATAGAAGAAAAGGACCTTTCTCTACCAACTAAGATGTGGCATTGTAGATTCTGCAGTATGCAATGGGATGCCAAGAGCCAGGAGCAAGTCAGAACTAATAATGTAGTGGGCACGGAAAAAGATAGAAAACATGAGTCTGCTGGTATGTGGACCTCAGCAAAGAGTTAATGCTAGAGATAAAGCCATAGGAATGCAGATGCAAGTAGAGATGACAGCAGGTTCCCCATAGATACTGAAAGTTAAAAGCTGCCTTGAAAGTGTCTGCAACAGAGTATCACCAGCTCAGGTGTCCTAATGAGTTTCTAGGGCAATGCACAAAGCAAACACCAGTTAAGTAGTTGAAAAGAACAAATCTGAATAAAGGAAAGCCAGACTGCTTTCCCTGCTAAGGGAAATCTATTTCATAGAAGGCAAGGCGGGAGGCTCTCTGAAGACTGAAGAAGGACACAGAAGAGTGAATCCTTCTAGGTGATAGCTGCCCCAGCCACCAAGGGATGGGTTGCTACCTCTGCAACCTGTCTACCTGCCCAGTATGTCAAGAAGCACCCAACTCTTTCTCAGTATCTGGACAGTACTGATGAAATGAAGGAAGAGGAGAAATGGTCACAGCAGGTTCCGGCTCTTCAGTTCTGCAGATGTGAGTTGCTTTCATGATCATGGTAAGTCATTGCACAACTCAGTGATCTCTCCTGGCCATCTATAAAATATAGACACTGGGCTAGGCAAGGACATGTTGGTAGTGCAAATGAACCCATATGGAAGGGTTTTAGCTTTACATCCCAGGACCTCCCTGAGCTTTCTAGGAGTACACCGCGTGCCTCTGGCATTTACTTGGCTGAAACTAGGGATTGACTGCAGTGCAAAGACCTATTTGGGGTGCCTATCTCTTGTCTTCTTGCTCTCTCTCTCTGGAAATAAATCTTAAAAATGCCCCTTACACCAATGATACCACATAATTAATAAGATTGCAGTGAGGTCCAGGTGAGATTATGGGCTGAGAGTGCTCTGTGGACTCTAAGGTGATAGATGAACCATGTTATGCGTATCAGTGGTGGGTTCCTAGAACTCAGGTTGAGGTAAGAGTGAGTCAACAAGGAAAAAAAATTGTCTCATTTCCTGAAAGGAATTCTTAGGAATAATAGGGCTTGGCAGTTCAGGTTACAGAGCAGTTATAAATATTGAGTGTCACCAGTTACTCTGACTAGAGCTCCTGGGGCCCTGGAGGAAGTAACCCGTGAGTGTCTCTGCCCTTGCCTCTTACTTTATTTTCCTCTTGTACTGTGAATGACCCCTCCACCCTGCCCCACTTGTCTTGCTGGTTTACCTTAATGGGGTTAAGGGAGGGTCTTTGTAGCTGTTCTATTCTGGGAGATGTGGATGTGGGAAGTAGGGTATGGAGAGGTAGTAAGGTGCTCTGCTGCCCCTTACTCCATGGCCTTGGCTCAGTAAATTTGCTTTCTGAGCTGGGGAAGGGTGGATGGGTGGGATGTGACAACTACTAGATCCCAGCTGCCCTTGTGTGGAAGCCATAGGCAGAAAATACAATGTCAACTTCTCTCTTGGCTCCTTTCTCTCTAATTTCTTTATAAAGAAGGACAGTAAAGGAGAAACAGACCAGAGATGTGCAGGTCTGAGTTCTAAACCTATCTTGGCACCAACCGTCTTAGAGCCTGGTAAATCAGTTTCTTTCATGACTTTGTCTTTACTTGAAATAGATACTTATTGGATTAGATAGCTAGTTTTTCAATGTTTAGAGGAGTCACTTTTTTTTTTTTTTTCAGTTAAATCTTACTCTGAAAGCTTAGCTAAACTGAATACTGGGACCAGCTAGGTAGCACAGCAGTAACACACTGCTCAAGCAATACTGGGTCTACATGCAAGATTGTAGGTTCAGTTCCCCAGCTGACCTGTACATGCCAAACACGCATGACCAAGACTAACTGAGAAGGCTGGAAAAGGGTACCATGGCTTGAGACACTGTGGGAGGTGCTTATCTTTCTCTCTGGCTTTTGCTTTCACTCTCACCTTTGCTCTCACTCTGATAAAAGAAAAAAAAAAACTTTAAAAAGAAAAAATACTACATCTGTTGAGGAAGCTGTAACTCTGCCAACTCCAGCTGTTGTTCCAGATAAGATGCCTCATCTGAATCCTGGGTCTGAAAACCTGTGATCGGCTCTCACAAAGGCTCCTTTATGCTACAGTAGATGGTGGTGTCTTCTGTACTTTCTTGAGCTGGTAGACAGATTGCAGTAGCCTTTCACTCATTCCAAAATCAGGTGCAGAGCTCCAGAATTGAGGCAGCTGCAGCTTTTGCTCTGGCTCAGTCTAACCATTATTGTTTATGTCTGAACCTCTGCCAGAATAAGTCCAACAAAGTAGCTGCTGTTGGCCTGTGAGTTTATTTGGGTACTTCTAGAGACTCCCAGAACAACTGAGGAACTGGTGAATTCATTATTGTAAGAGGCTAATGCAGGGTCGGCAGGTGACCTGGAGGTTAAGGTGACTGGATCGCACACAGCCAACTGTTCAGTTTGAGTAGTGGACCCAGCAGCTTGAAAAATCACAATAAGTGTGCCCCAAATCCGGAAAGGAGAACAGAAGGGAAGGGATTATGACATGGTCATTCTCTCAGGGGGAGGGGTGTTCTCTCTCTCTTTCTCTCTCTCTCTGCTCTCTGCTTCTGGAGAGTGCACACACACTAAAGCAAACTACAAAAAAGTTAATGTAGAATAGGGGTCACTCACATCTCAGAAGTTCAGAATTACCAGTCATTGGAGATAAAGGAATTTCTCTAACCAGGAAGCCCTTCTCCTGTTACCACCCCAACCTAGTGACCCCCCCCCCCTCTTATTTGCACAGGTTGCTGTGGCTTTGTTCCCAGTCTCTGTGATTTCTGCCCACTCTTTCCACTTACCAACGTATTTTT